TTGTTTTTGAGGTTCACCCTGCTGAGATTCACTTTGCTGTTCAGGTAACTGTTGCCGATCTGATGGAGCTCTGTAACATTGAAGGCTATGCACTAGTGCAGCATACTTTCCATGTGATCTGCGATTCTAATAAGTTAGAATTACAGTACACCGTCAGAAACGCAGGACTCACTTATCGAGACCATCGCTCTTTTGGGTACCTTCTTCCCTTACCGGCTGAAAGGCGTGATTATTCAGCATTTCGATTTGAGTGATTTCTCCTTGAAATTAACATGTTGGCGACCAGGGGACTTTTCACGTTTCCGCTGTGAGAGCGAATAAGTCTGCCTGGCCTCAGAAAAAAAAGGTTCTGGCAAGCGCTCTCATCTAGGACGCGCCTACTCTACAGCAATGCCTTTCAAGAGGTCTAGAACTTAACGCGGAAGGATATTTTAGTGCCAGTAGCAATCCACTCTTCCATGAACGACTTCCACTGTCCAATCAGAGGACGGGAGCAAGCTTGGAAACGGCCTTTTTTGGCTCTAAAAGCCAGAATCTCTGGGATTCTATAAGCGTTCCGTTGAGAAAAATTGCATTGATATGTCAGCTACTTGCAAATGAAGCACAAGTTCAACACCTCCAAAAACAGCTTGTCACTTTGAAACCACACCCGTGTGTCTATCAGGTGAAACACCCAAAAAGGACGCGATGTCTAACGTAACGCAGCGAAAAGGTGGCTATCATCAGGCCGAAGTGTTGCCAACGTGTCAACAACGAGCCAAGGTGTTCTCAGAGCAATGATTCAAGAAACTCACCACGAGCGCATTCGTCCAAACGAGGGAGCCGTCGGCATATGTGCTCTGGTAGTCATAACTTCGTTTTTCTTCCACATAGAATGTCTGTCCCTGCTCCCAGAGGTTGCCTTTGCTTGCGTCAATAATCGTATCACGGTCAATGGTGAGGCTGTAATTATTGTCATGAATAAAATCAATGTATAATCAAAATTACTTCTCTCCATCAAGTGGTACGTCGAATGCCTTTGTGCATATGACAGCCAGGCCCGCAATCTCAGGAAGTGCACCACATTCGTCGATCGAGGTGGGGAACTAAGGGGCCAGACTTCTAGCCTTACAGCAGATATGGCCAACGACAGTTACACCATGAGATACGGCCCCTCACGCCTGCAGCGTCATGCGCCACGAGTTTTCTGCTCTTCTAATATACCTTTCTTTCGAAAATAAGCGAACAAATAGCAGCCTACTGCGAGACAAATAGCAGTCTGCCCGGAGAGCGACACCAAGGACATAGCCTGCGTTAATGAAATAGTTTGTGTGGTACGATTGTTTACCGTAATAATTAATTTCGTACACACTGTTCTTTGCGTGAGTTCGTTCGTCGACTAAGCGATGCAGATTTTGTTTCCGACTCTTTTGTGTTTTTTATAAGTTGCTGGAGGCCAATCAGTTCTAAATTATGCAAACATTTGAGGTTTGGTGGGTACAGAAAATGCGCAGGGCCGGGAAATCTAGTACAATGAATTCATCGGCTGCCGACGAGGGTCTTTATCACATCACATGTCTCGTCGGTGTTTTCAATCCGGTCATTTGGTGGGTTTAGATTCTTAACTGAAAACCAGTTTCATAAGAAGTAACCACAGGAGTTGTTCCAAGCATGCGTAGCCACGAGATGTTATAAGCTAAGCCAAATAGAGTTGCAGTGGAGTCTTTAGTATGGTTGTGTCTGCCTTGGAACTGTGCACTAAACCGTTCACCCTGGAAGTCGAAGACTTTCAAAAGAAACCCTCCTTCAGCAGATAAGTTGGAAAAGTTGGAAAACGCTAATATGCCAATGAGGCGATCGTTGAAAGGGAGCAAGGCAATGTGTACATTTTGTGTTAACCTGTGTCACACAAGCCTCAGTCAGACCAAACTAGGCTAGTGGAGTAAAGAAAGAAAAGAAGTGAGGTAATGCGCCCAATACGAGTGAAGCCAGTCTCATTGGAGAAAGTATTGCTTCTGCACAGTCAAAAGTCCCAACAGACATCTCCAGAAACCAAGTCTTTGGTCGCTTCTCCACACAGATGAAGTGGTGCCAGTATTGAAGATAAGAGCGATCGGATCTAGAGCAGGGGGGGGAGGAGCAAGCTTGGTCTGTTGCTCGCACAGCTCAGTCTGAACATCATCAAAAAACTGACTACGGTGACTTACGATTCAAACGAGCCCGACCCACTGGGAATCAGTGCTGGGGGTCAGTATGCTACTCTATGGCAGTTCTGGGACTCAGGGATACTCATGTGTAAGTGCAGCAAGGCCTAAATGTGCATTCTGCGTGAGAGAAGACATAAGAGCCCCATTTGAACATCTGCTTAGACCAGTTAGCGTTGACGTACTGTCGTGCCTGCTACCAATAAGCTGAAAGCTCGCTACAGCGATGGAGAGAAAAACCTTCACGTTGGACGACCGGAGCGTCGCGATCCAATTTGCAACCGGGCGACAATGAACAAGAATCGCCATAGCATCTTCGTGATAGATGAAAATGCGCAGAATCTCGTCTCTCCTGGTAAGACTACAGTACTCCGCACAAAAGACGGACACTCTCTCTACGAGTCGGCTTAGCCTGATGGTGCTCGCCGGAAAACTTCTCGAGAAATGCCTGCGTTGGACACGCTGCACGCGGATTTGGATAGTTGGCGCCACGCAAAGATCAGGCATTCAGCCGAGAGAAATGGCGTCAAAAAATCAGAAGAGCAAACCTCGTCACAAAGTAGGCTAAACGTTGAAGAATAAGAAGAAGGAAATAGGGAATGCGCCAACCTGCTTTCGTCAGCGAAGATACGCTCATCGAAGCCAATATTCCTTTTTTGCGAGAGTGAAGTACCGCAACGGCTTCTGCAATTCATTTAGTAGTAGGATGCTCCTTCGGGTGGACTTTCTCTGCTGGAAGGTCCATGGACTTACGGTAGCGTTCTCCCATCCGATAACGAAAATGAAGTGCCACTGATGTTGAAAACAATGCGCTCAGTCTTGTGGTAAATGTCATCTTCCATTGTTGTGCCATTTTCGGCGGTGACATTGAGAATTCCCTTCACTCTGCAAAAATAACCTATAAATAGAAGCTATTGAAAATGTTCGTTAAAGAGCAGGACCTCTCATTAGCCGAATGAGCTTTTGCGGCAATTACTTAACGCCAAACTTATCCAAATTTTGACGATATAACCGATTGGTATCAGGAGGACAAGTCTCCAGAGATGGTCAGTTCTCTCAGAACATTTGAAATCTCAGACGTACCTTCTCCCGTACCAGTCAATGGTCTAAGATGAACTATGTATGTATGTATTTAGGCATGCATGTAGGCATGTATTGGGTCGGCCCATAATTAATGGCGTTTTTTCTCACTCGAAATATCACGCCAAACATGAAAAATTGTTTCCAATGAAATCTACACCTCTTTTGCCAGCGGACTTCCTGCTCTATACGATAGCTTTCCTAGTTTTCTCGAAGTTTCTCTTTCAACTAGTATGTAAGAGCTCAAACTGTAGTGTCAGGCCGACAAAAGTGAGCATTTTCGACAGCCACTCTTTATGTACTCTAATCAAAAGCCAACCACACAGATAGGTAGTTGCTGAGTGTATGAGCCAAGAGGCCATGTACTCCTAGGATATGCTCGAGAATTAGTTCAAGTGAATCCGAAGATTCGAATTTACTGACTTCAGACAGCATGACTGTAGAGGACGAAAATGCGGCACTACTGAGACCATCCATATGGTTAAGCTTATTGGATTACCTGTATTATCAGTAAAATCAATTCCAAAGATTTAGATCGTTAAAGGTTTTTGGAAATGCTTCCTTGTCATTATCAAATCACTACAGTTGGTGTTAGACGTTTAGAAGTTCAGTTGGTAAGTCCTTCGGTTCGCTTCCCAAAGAGGCCCCCATGCGATGCACAATATTACAAGGCTCCGAATTCCGCTCTTGATTCGTTGCAACAACTTCAGGCTGTTATAAGTAGCATCTTTCCTTGGTCATACATATCGCAGGTTTTGAGCTCCTGCTGTAGTCTGAGAGCCGAGATGAAGTGCAAAATGCTGTGTCGAAAACTCACTTTTGTGTCGAAGCCTACACTTCATTTCAGCAAAATAAAGGGTAAGAAATATCAGGGATTAGTAGAAAGGCAGCGGTAGCTTATGGAGACCGAAATATTTACCCATCACAGTGCAAACTGCATGGCGAACATTGATCGTTTTCAAAAAAACTTGTGTGGGGGAAAAAAACGCCATACTTATGGGCGAAACCAATATGAATGTATGATGTATTAGGTTGTCCGGAAAGTTCTTAGCGTTTTGGGTGTTTAACTTTAAACGATCATAACTTTCTTAACACTCATCGGATTTAATCCAAATAAGCACCATTCGAATCAGCACACTTTTGCCAATGTGACAGCAGTCGAGAAATCCCATCAAAAAAAACTGGGTGGTCGAGAATCCACGAAATCTGCGAAGGTCTTTTTTGCCTGGTCCTGTTTGATGAAGTATTTCTCAGCAGGAAGTTTCTGAAAATGTCTGAAAAGGTGACAGTCGGTTGGTGAAAGGTCTAGAGAATATGGTGGGTGAGGTAGAACTTCAACTCCCAATTCGTTCAATTTATGGATAGTATTGTGAAACGTGTGGGCGGGCGTTGTCATGCAAAAGAATCGGACCCTTTCTTTTGATAAGTGTTGGCTGCAGCTGACAATATTTTCGGTACATTTGGTCGGTTTGTTCACAGTAGGGTTCTGCTGTGATGGTTTGGCCTGGTGATGAAAAGTTATAGTGGATTACAACAGCCGATGACCACCAAACCTGACCAGAATTTTTTTTTCGCGAGGGTTCGGCTTTGAAAATTACCTCGGTGGTTCCTCCAAATCCAACCACTGTCCGGAACGTCTCCTGTTATCATACATGATCCATTTTTCATCACAGGTGACAAATCCGTTCAAAAACAATTCTTTTGCGCAAAAGCAGTGAAGAAGGAACCTCGAGACGTGCCGATTCCTGCCGGTCACTCCGATTGTGGGGCACCCAATTCGAGTTTTTTCACCTTCCCAATGCGTTCCAGACCATCTGCAACAGTGGATTTGCCAAGGCCTAGCTCTTCTGCTATCTCTCGAACTGTTTGGGATGGGTCAGCCTCAAAATCCCCCTAAAATCCTCGTCAGATATTGCTTTAGGTCGACCGCTATGAGGCTTCACCTTCAAGGCTGAAATTTCCAGAACGACATTTGTTGAGCCATTGCGGCACAGTGCTTTCTCTAGCACTATTGGGCCTCCACACCTGGTTAATTTGTTGAGCTGTTTCGATTGCGGATTGCCCCAATTTATAGCCGAAGAAAAAATCGTCCGAAGTGCTCTTTTCACATGCTTGAAAAAATCTTGAAAAAGGGTTTATCAAGCAATGGTGAAACGGCAATTATACCATCAGATAGCGCAAGAAATTCTCTACAGGATGTGCTACTGAGAAGCAAGGCAGAATGAGTTTTTAATCAGCAGTGAATGTACAAAGATTAGGTGCACAAAACGCTAAGAACTTTCCGGACAACCTAATACATATATGCACAGTCCATAATCGACTATCCATTAATCTCGGCATGATGACAGCATTAGCTTGTAAATCGGAACCTATTCTCGAACCAGTTCGTCCTAATCCCATTTCAAATTGTCGCGTAGTGGAAAATATCGTTTAATAAGGACTGTAATAGCCTATGCCTACTATAGGATCTATGCAATTTGAAATGGGATTAGGACGAATTCTTTCAAAAATAGGTTTCGATTTACAGGTTCAACAGGAAATACTGCCGAAACGTCAGTCTGGTAAAGGATTTGTAAAGAAAGTTCTGCGGATATGCACAGTCATCATCCCGTTAAACGAAAGTGGACGTGGGTTGTGGCGCAATCATATCATCTATTAGGTTGGAAAGAAAGCAATGATACATTTGCGACTAAATGGTTTTGATCTCAGTGTTCTTAGCCTATTTGTATATTGACTGGGGAAAACGAGTAGCCAGTCGATAGACACCTATCTGGTCTCAGTCCGAATGAATCCTACATGCCTGTCGAAGGTTTGTAAGGAGAATCTTCCCAGTCGCATGGTTATGTAGCGTTGGTTCGACAACTTCAAGGATTTCTCCATCGAAGATGAAGACAATTCCGGGAGCCTAGTGACACTGGATTTGGACTTGCTACGGAAGCGTGTGGAGTGGGATCCACACCAAACTACTCGTCAACTGTCAAGTAGTCTTCGCGTTTCTCACGCACCGTTCTCCGTGGATTAAAGTCGATTGGAAAGGTCAAAAAGTTGGGTGAGTGAGTCATTCTTTTCACTCTTGAGCTCAGGCATGCGTGGTTCGACAACCTTGTAGGTAGGCAATGGCAGAAATAGATTCTCCACTCTAATGTGCGCCACCGTGCTCAGTGGATCGTAGACGAAGCGGGAGAGGCAGAAGGCGTGCCCAAAACCTAGCCTCCACGGGAAAAAGGTGCGTATGGTGAAGCGTTCATGGTGTGGAGCATGGGCAGCTACTAGATGAGGGAACGATAGCGACGGCCAACGCCTGCATGGCTCTGCTGCAAAGATGAAGAACTATCTTGAAACTACTCGCGAGTAGCAGACGTCAACTGCCACTTACACCACGACAACGGGTGACATTGACATCACATATTACAAGAACAACGAAGAATGAGCTGACTACGTACGGGCTGATCATCTTCTCCTACTCAGCTTACTCTCCAGATGTCTCACCGCTTCGACTACCACCTGGTTTCATACCTTCAGCGCCATTGGTCGGCAAAGGTTTCAAGAGCGTGATGAAATCGAAAAGGAACTAGAGGCATTCGACAGAGCCCAGCCAGCCTTTCCTTTCTGGATGGAAAGGCATCTATAATGTGCCTATACGCCGGTAGAAGACCATAGACAGTGATAGAGCATGTTTCAAATAATTTACTGTTTTGGTTTCGTGTTGCGGTAAAAATCCTGAACAACTGCATGTAATCCAAGTTTCATGCTAACCTTTTCTCATTTGGGAAATCCTTCGCCGAAGGTCCCATTTCTGCTTCTGCGACTTTG